TTTTTGTTTTAGTATTTTGAAGTTGACCAATTGTTACTATAAGCAATTAATGATTATAGATGATCTGCACCGTATGATATTTATTGCTAAATCTAAATCACGTGCTTTATTATAAAATGGTGGAATACCAGAAAAGATTTCCCACATTATTACTCCAAAAGCATAAATATCAGATTTCTGAGAGTAATTGCCTTTAGTTATTACTTCAGGAGCCATATAAGGTAAATTACCATATATGCCTCCAATTGGTTTATCTTCTGGACCACAAAAACCCATATCATTAACATAAAAAATATTTGCATGAGAATGAAGTAATATATTTCCAGGATATAAATCTCTGTGAACAAATCCTAAATTATGAATTTCATTAAGATTAAGTATAACACATGAATAATTTTGAGTTTTTTAAATAAATTAAATGAAGAGTAATTTCTAGCCATATATTCTCTCAGGTCATACTTATATTGACTTAAAATAAGCATATGTCCATTAGTTTCTGGATTTTTTGTTAATCCATAACAACCAACAGCATAATCTGAATTCATATTAATTTCACAATGTGATTTAACCTAAAAACAATTCAAAATTAATTAATATTATTATATTTTGAAATAAATTTAATTGTTAAATTTTAAATTTTAATATTACCTCATCTAACCATCTTCAATCATTTTTGTTTGCCTTTCTAAGTTCTTTAAGAACAATTTGATGATCTCCACTTCTTTCTAATTCTAACTTTTTAGAATTCCATTTAAAGTAAGGTCCATCTCTCAAAATTGCAGTATATATTTTTGCACATCCCCCTTCAGCTTTATATTCAATATCACTAAAATTTTCATATGGTATCCATTCTATAACATTACGTGGATTAAATGATTTTTTTTGAAAATTTTGAATTAATTGATCAAATCTCTTCATTTCCTAATGTCCAATTATCAAAATTATTTATCAAGTAATTTTTCACGCAAGATTCACAATATGATATAGCAATTACCATATTTTTACAATGTTTACATTTTCTTCTTTTGTTGCTACCTTCTTTGATATTTCTACCATCTATAAATTATTCACAAAATCATTTATACATAGGTAAACTTGATAAGTCGGATTTGAATTGGAACTGAATTTGATCTCAAATTTAGAGAGGTAGCAACTATATACTGGTGAAGTTTCAGAAACAATGGTTCTGTATAACATTTCGTGCAACATCAAACTTCCATTATGCTGATGTTAACCCTGAAAATAGACCTTATGCAAAAACTTTATGGATGAGAATAAAAGGAATATTGAGAGACTTATATAATACAGATCAGAATTTACAACTAAAAGATGGTTCTAAAAATAAAAATAAATTTAACAGATTATCAAATGCTACAGGATTAATAAAATCTTTAAAAAGTGATAAAAACATCAATAATGAAAACATCAATGATGATAACAACAATCATGATAACAATAATAGTAACAACAGTAATAGCAAAACCACAAATTATTATACAAGAACTATTAATTTCAGTGATTTCACCAGTAAACTTTATAGTTTTTCAAATCTTCCTTCTCCAAAAAATGCTTCTGAAGGTATGAATGAATTAATAAATTATTTAAATTCAATCAGCCTATTAATTTATTAATTATTTATCATTTATATAAATTCTTTATTTATTAGAAACAACAAGAAGGTAAAAAATTGTTTTATTACTACTACACAATGTGTCTTGATTTAGCAGATAACTTGGGCAATTAGAGCAAAATTTCAAAAATCAATTATGCCAAGTAAATCTGTTATTATCAAGAGAACTTACTATTACTATCACCATAGATCTCAATCTGTTAAATCAAGTATTTTATTAGACATCTGCTAAATCAAGATCCACTAAATTGAAATCCACTGTGTATATTATATATTTTATACACTTTTTTAAGAAATTATTTATTCCTTTTATTTTTAGCTTATCATTCTAAACAAAATGATCTTGTTATACCAGATGGTAATTCTTTTAATTCTTTTTTTCAGCTAATTGTAATTTTATTTTTAATATTTTTTAAATTATTTTTTATAGATATACTATTGGAAATCTAGTGATCTTAACCATATGACAAATCTTAATGGTCAAGGAATAAATTGATATCTGAATTCATCATTTTTAAATTCATACACTTTATATTAGGCCACACAAATAAAATTTTTAGGTTCTCATATCCCTTTAAACTTTCTGCAAGATGGTTTTTTAGGTGGCATTTTTTTAGTTCCAATTTGTTAGCTGCTAGTAAGCAGCATATAATATTTTTTTTAATAATTTGGAATTTTTTGTCCTGTATTGTATAAACCAATTTAAAAGTATGATCATTTGTCAATTTATTTCGTTTTTATCATGTATATAGGAGAATGTTGACCAATTCCTCTCAGATGCAGCTGATGAGGTAGGAATAGAAAGAACTCT